ACCATATATTGTGAGTGTGTACAAAACAGTCCCCGGTGCTCTGCTGCTTTGCCAGCCACGGAGGTCCCACTGCCTCCGTTATAAATAAGAGGACCTTGGACGCACCCCCACCCTCTCCCTGGTGGGGCCACCCGGCCCGCAGGCTCCCCAAACAGTCCAGCCCCTCATTTCAGGTCCACGTCAAAGTCCAGCACCAGCAGCTTGGTTTCTTCAGTGCCATTGCGGCTGCCAACAGCACACACGAGTTTGGTGTTGGAGGCACGGATGCGCCAGACGACCCCTCCGCTGCCCCCACTTTCCAGGGCAACCAGGTTGCGCACAAATTCCCCCGTCTTGAGATCCCACAGTTTGACTGTGCCATCGTCTGAGCTGGTCACGACAAACTTGGAACTGAACTGGAGGCAGGTGACTGCGCTCTGGTGCTTACTGGGTCCTGCGAAGAGGAGGGGAGGTGGGAAGGCGGGACTGTGCACGTGTCGCCCCTTCCAAATGAAACCAACCCTCCCCATGGCCCCACTTGCCCCGTGCCCAACAGTCGGAGCTGCTTCCAGGCATGGGATGCAGCCCTCCCTTTGCGAGAGCAACAGCCAGTGCAGCCGGATGTGGCCCTGGCAGTTCCCCCAGAGCAGCCTGGCCAAAAGGCCATCGCCATGCCCGGCTCTGGGGCCTGCCTTCCGTCACATTGCACATGCGAGTTGGCTTCCTGCATCCAGAGTTCTACCCCTGGGGGCCAATAATGGCAGAGCTCACTGTCGCACCTTGCTCTGCCAGTCTCTGCTCCCTGCCACACTCACCTTGGAGAGTTTGCAAGCACTGCCCCGTCTTGATGTCCCAAATTTTCACAGTGGAGTCAGCATTGCCAGAGACGAGGATATTGTCCCGCAACTCCATGCCGCTGGTGAGGGACTGGTGCCCCATCAGGGTGTGCAAGCAGTTGCCGCTCTCGGCATCCCATACACGGATTGAGGTGTCAAGGGAGCCACTCACAATGTGGGTGCCGTCAAACTGCACAACGGTAAGAGACAAAACGTTGCAAATGAGCAGCTCTGGAGGGCTGGGCTGGATAGCCCCCACAAGTCCTTTCCAGCTCTAGCTCTCCCAAACGGAAGGAGAGCCTCACCTGCAGGGAATAGACCCGGTTGGTGTGGCCTTGCAAAGTGTGGGTGCAGCTCTCTGTCTCCGGATCCCAGACTTTTACCGTGTAGTCGTAGGCACCGCTCACCACCTTATGCCCATTGTACTGGACACAACGCACAGCAGCCACATGTCCCATTAGCACATGGAGGCACTGCCCAGTCTCTATATCCCAAAGACGGAGAGTGGCGTCCCGAGAGCCACTCACCACCCTGCCAAGGGAAGGGAAGTAGCCTCAGCATCCTGTCTGACACCACAGGAAACCCCAGCCAGCTTTCCAAACACCCCTATCCTACTCCAGGCTCCTTTACCTGGTGTCGTGGAGATGCATACAGCGCACAGTCGAGGTGTGACCATAGAGAGTATGCACACATTCGCCAGTGTCTGCGTTCCACACTTTCAAAGTCCGGTCTGTAGAGCCACTGATGATGATATTGTCCCTCATCTGAGAGGACCAAACGCCACCAGTGTGTCCCACCAGAGTCTGCACACACTATGGGAGAAGCAGGACTTCAGAAGGGCCGGGCGGGGCCAAGAAAGCTGTCACCGCCACAGCAGCTGAACCGGGGCTCACCTCACCAGTGATGGCTGACCAAACCTTGAGCGTGTTGTCATCGGAGCCACTGACAATGCGGTTGCCACAGAACTGGAGGCAGGTGATGACGTGGTCATCGTGACCTTTGAGGACCTGCTCCGGGCACAGAAGGAACAAGTGAGCTGCAGCCACAACAATGGAGAGGCTTCATCCACAAGTGAGGAGAGCTCACTTTACACTTTCCAGCTTGGAGCAAGCCCCAGGATCAATAGCCGTGACCACGGAGCCACCAGCGGGGCTTCCAGTCCTTAAATGTGGATGAATGAGATCCACGTGTGAGCAACCAACGCTCCTCTCTTCAACTGCCCCATTTCTGAATCCCCCTCATGGCAGCTCCTCTTCCTGAGCATGCAGGGGGCACCGAGACCAGTTCAGACACCACCTTCCTGCTACGGTTGCTGCAGACACAGGCAAAGCCCTCGCCTCGCAGTCACTGGCCGTCCCGCCCCCTCAACCTTCACACTCCCCCGGTCTACATTTAGGGCGAGCAAGATGGACACCTGGCTGCCAGATGAAAGCAATCTCGGAGGGGGGCTCAGCATACCTTGGGAGGCCGGGCATCTCCATTGCGCCAGTTCATATCAATGCGATGCTGCCGCAGAAAGGCCAACTTCCAAGGGCTGTACATGAAGCCTGGGCTCAGCAGCCGACGCTTACGCAGACTCAGCGGCTCCTCAATACCTGCACAGAGGGACCGGGGCGGGGCTCATCAGGGCAAGGATGGCCAGGGGAGCCCACCCTGCCAACAACTGGGCAAAGCAAGGGGGAATCTGGGCCTCACCTCCATCGCGACACTTCTCCCGCCACAGCAAGTTGTCTTCGGCCAAAATGCGCCAGTAGCGACACGTCTGCGCAGCTCGGAGCAGGTCCCGGGGCTCCAGGAAGGAGAGGACGTAGAGAGCCAGCTAGAAGAGGAGGAAGAGCTGAGGCTTGGGGGCTGTTCAATGAAAGCCCAGCCGATGCACTCAGGCCGTGTGCCACCTGGGGCCCACCAGGCAGCTGCTTGCCTCCTTTGAACAGGACTACCGTCCAGCTGGCTGCCGTGCCAATAACCACAACTGCTCAAGAGCAGGGACAGGGAGCATCCCCATGTCTCTTCTCTGGCGACCTTTCCAGGTGGCTCTGCAAAGTTGGGAAGATTTACCCACGCCCTCTGAAGGTCTTATGACTTGCTGCGTGCCCCAGCACCTGGCCAGGATCAGAGCCCAGCCTTCTACCTGGACCTGCCCACGGCGCCTCAGCCCACTGGCTTCTAATACACGCTCCCTTTGACCTTCGTTGGGGTCATTTGGCTTTTGCCATGTTCAGGCTCCACCTCACAAGCCCTCTGATTTCTTTGTGCCCGTTGTACGTGTAGCACAACCGAAGCTCCACTTTTGGCTCTCCTCGGACGTGACTCTTTTTCTAGTTATGTTCTCGCTCTCTTCTTTCAGCTGAACTGCCTGGCGCCCTCTAACAACATCAATCACGTTTAGACTTCTGTAAAAAGTATTGTACCAAACAGCCCCGTCTCAACTACATCACACCTGGCACTGTGCGAGACCTCCTTCCAAACAGGTCACCCACCTCCTTTGGCAGAAGCGAGATGAAGTCACGCTGGAACTGGGGCTCAATCACTTGCATCATGTGCTTAATCTGGGGGGGCTCACAGCGGTCAATGAGCTCATCCAGGGCCAGCAGCTTCTCCGGACCACTCCAGTGCTGGCAGGAAACCAAAGGAGGATGCACGGAATAGAAAAAGAACGAAGCCACTTGTTCTCTTTACTTGTCCAGCTAAAAATGTTTAATGCTCGTTGCACATTCTGCAAACGTCCCATAGGGAGAAAACGGACCCCCAACAGCCAAGGGCTGCAACCCCCAAAGCCCACCCTCCCGAAACCCAAGATCTCTGATGGGCCTCCTTGCTAGAAACCTCAGCCTCCCCACCACTCACCTGGAAAGTGCGCAACCAGTCCTGCAGCTCAGGGGGCGGAGCCACAGGGGGGATGTGCCGGCAGCGTGCCTGGCTGGCCTTGGCATTCCGAAGATCCCCAAAAGTGGCCACAGGCCGGGCGATGCAGGGACCCAGCATCCTGAGGATAGAGCAAAGTCTTCCCTAGCAAGTGCCCCAACTCCTGTCTGCCTCCCCCAGCCACACACACACACAAACACACACACATGCACCCCCAGGGGCCTTACCTGCCCCGCTCGGAACGTTTGCAGAGCTTCTTCCCCGGGGACTGGGCTCTGCCCTCGGGCCCGCCCTCTGACTTGCGCTTCATCTGCAAGCGGGAGAGACCAGGGCATCAGCAGCCCGAGCCAGCTGGGTAAATGGAAGATCCCGACAGAAGCAAGCAGGCTCCGCCCCGCCGCCCACCCAAGCAAGCTCCTGCCGGGTGTGCAACGCTGCAAAACCCCAAAGGCCGTCTGGGCGTCCTCTCATTCTGAGGACGGAAGCCTACTGCGCCTCCCCGCATCCCCGGCCTCGCCTTCCCTACCTTGGACCGGGAGTGCTGGAGGAGCCCCCCGCCCTCCGTTCGCTCCACGTAATCGATCCAGCGCTCGTCCACCGTGTAGTAGAAGTAGCCGTCCCCGCCCGCCTCGTCGCCGTCGCTGCTCTCCTCTTCTTCCTCCTCCTCCTCCTGGCGGAAGCCCCTCGGGGAACCGGGCCCGCCGCCGCGCTCAGGACTGCGCTCCGGCCCTCCGGGGTTGCTGGCAGCGGAGACCTCTCCGCGCGGTCCTCCCGCTCCGCCGCCGCCATCCTGCGAAGGGGACGGGGAAGCGCAGGCGAGGCTGCGCGCTCCCCCGGCCTCCCTGCCAGCGCGCGGAGAGCCTTGGGCGGCCGGGCCGGCGCGCCGTCGCGGGCGGCCATCGGGGGTCTCCGGGCGGTGCGAGCAGGTCACGCGCTGGCGGTTCAGCTCCAGGGTCCGGGCGGTGATGCCCTTGACGCGCAGCAGGTCCTCCAGGCGTGCGAAGCCCCTCAGCTCCTGAGCGGGCCGGGAGACGGTCAGGCGGGCGCCCGCGGGACCCCCGCCCCGGAAGAGCCGCCCCCCCCCACAGTCGCCCTCCGGTCGCTCACCTCCCTCTTGCGCACGATACCTCGCGCTCGGCGGCGCCCGATCCCGACCAGCGCCCGCTCCAGCTCCGCCGCGCCGGCCCGGTTGACGTCTATCCTGCCGCCCCCGGGCCCAGACCCCGACATCGCCACCGCCGCGCCCGGGCCGCCGCCGCGCGCCTGCGCGGGGCGGCCGCCCCGCCTACATTTCCCAGAGAGCCACACGAGAGCCGCCAATCGCCAAACAAGACGGGCCTTTATTGGTCAACGGCGCTTGTAGAGGCAGGGCCGCAGCGCCAGTCCGCGCGGTTCCTCCGCCGCCTTCGCCGCCCGCTCGGTCTTGCGCAGTTCGAAGCTGTAGAAGTGGCTGCCCGAGACATCCTGCGGAGGGAGAAGCCGTCGGTGGGGCCCGGGGCAGGCAGGGCAGGCCCGGCCCGGCCCGATCCCGCTTACCTTGGAGATCAGCCGGAAGCCCAGCCGGGCCAGCGCCCCCAGGAAGGCCCGGAGGTCCGCGAAGCGGCTCGCCACCTCGGCCACCAGCAGCGTCCCCCTGCGGCGCAGAGAAAGAACGCGAGTGATCGCCCGGCCGCCTCGGGATTCCCCCCGCGGCCGTCCCCCCGCCGCTTACCCGGCTCGCAGGACGCGGTGAGCCTCTTGCAGGATCTCGCGCAGATTGGTGCCCATCAGCGCCAGGCAGAAGACGGCCACGTCCACGGAGGCGTCTTCTAGCGGCACCTGCGGGCGACGAGAACACCTGTCCGACCAGGCGGTGGGGGCGAGGCGGGAGTGGGGGCGAGGCGGGAGTTGGGAGTCCGGCCGGCTGGCCGGCCTACCTGGGCCATGAGTGGGGGCGAGGCGGGAGTTGGGGGGAGCCCGGCCGGCTGGCCAGCCTACCTGGGCCATGTCGCAGACGGTCACCCGCGGGTCCAGGGCCGCCAGGTCGAAGCAGTGCACCCGGTTAGGCAGGCTGCGAGCCAGGGTGCAATCCCCGCAGCCAAAGTCGGCTACAACCAGGGAGGCCGGTCTGTGGGGAGGGGAGGAGAGGGCCAGTTAGAACAGGCGGAACAGCCGCCCCCCCACAGCCTGACCCCGAGTTTGTGCCTGGGGAGGCATGAGGCACAAAAGCCTGCACTGACCCTCGGAGGAAAGCCTGCCACATGGAAGCGGAGAGGGGCCGAAGCAGGCTTATTGTTTAGCTTGGATTAAGAGCAGTTGCTCTCATCAACTTAGAATTATTTTCCTGTATCCAAATAAACCTGCTTTTCCCACAGGCTCCTTTATGTTCTCTACTCATTCCCAGCCATGGGGAAGCTGTTCCAGCAGGCATGCTGCACAGGCCTTTTTGTAACATTTTTCAAAAGGTTGTTAATAGCAGGACAAAGCAGTCACCCAGAAAAGATGGTGGCTGCTGCAAATTCAACCAGAAAAGAAGCTTGTTGATCCCCAAAGGAGAATTGGATCAAACCAACTGCCAGAGTAGTGTTCAGGCTTGTGGTTTCAAAATCCACATCTTGCACCAGAGCAGGGCCCAGAACTCATGGGCTACAGCAGCCAGAGCCTCAAAACAGATCAGCTTTGTTCCAGCCTCAGATCCTCAGGCAGGCCTCTGGCACAGTCCAGGGATCCCCAGCCCACTGGACTGAGCTCACTCTGACCTGCGGCGAAGGTAGTGCACAAAGTGTTCCACGGGTCGCTCGGGCCAGCGGGCTGCCTGCAGGGCAAAACCTCGGTGGTAGACAGCTAAAGCCTCAGGGTCCTCCTGGAAAAGCTGGGCTGCCTCTTGGCTGGAGTGTGTGTACAGCAGCTGGTTGATGTAGCGGAAGCGAGCGGCATCCAGGCGGCTCTCCAGACGCTGCCGCAGGGACGGCGTCTGCCTGCTGGGCACCTCGGTATCTGGGGTCAGGCTTCCCTGATCATCAGGAGGCTCCTCTGCTTCAGAAGATGCCGGAGGCTGACCGTTGGAGGCCTTGAATTTGTTCTTCTGCCGCCGCTTGTTCTTCTGCTGATTTCTCCATTGTTTCCTGGTCAGTTGCTGCCTCAGCCCTGGGGCTGCTCTGTCGTACCAACTGCTGGACACTTGGCTGCCCTCCACGGCTGCCATCTCACCTAGACATAAGTGCTTCGTATCAGGCCCGTGTGGACCGAGAGGCTGGTGCACAAGAGCCACACTGCCCAAGCATGTGGCCGAGATCTCTGCCGATCAACTCATTTTGAGTGGCCGGGAGCAGACTCTCCTTGCGAGCTCCAGGAGGGGCTGAGGCAAAACAACAAAGTGCCTTCCCCTCCGCTCAGCCGCTCGCTGGTTACCGCCAGAACCGGGCCGGATCCCCCGGGGCAGCGCTATCCCCGGCCGCGCAGCCTGGTTCCTCCGAGCGTGTCGCGACGCCCGGTCCCCGAGGAGGCTCTCCCGATGGCCGCGCGGCTCCGGGCAGCAGACCGATTCCTGCAGCTGGCCGCCCCGCAGGCAGCGCGCTTCGTGGAGATCCGCTGCCCTCGCTGGAGCAGGAGCTGCCGCTCTCGTAGCCGACGAGACCTCCGGTACCTGTCACTCTCCGACCGCTGCGCTTCTCTCCGGGCACTGGGGCACAAACCGCGCTCTCGGCCGCCTCGTGTCCGCGCCGCCCTCCGCCCGCCGCGCTCTTGCCCGGCGGCGGCTCCACGCCTGCGAGGCCGCGCGGTGCCCTAGACCGTAGCCGCCGGCGCAGGCCTGCCCGGGAGCGCTGCCGGGAGAGGAGCGACGCCCGTCTGGCGATGGATTCCGCAGCCAGAGACCTCCGCGCCGGCATCATCTCCGCGGGCGCCGGAACCCGCGCAACGTCCGGCGCCGAGGAGAGGCCCGCGCGCTCCCCCAGCTGGCCGGAGGGCGGCGCCGCGCCCGGTTGGCCGCCGCCGCCTGTTCCAGCTGTGCGGGCGGGGCGGGGCGGGGCGAGCGGCGCGGAGAGCCACACCCGGGGCGGGCAGGGAAGGCGGCGGCGGCGGCGGCGGCGGCGGAGCGCGCGGGGCGATGGACGACATCTTCACGCAGTGCCGCGAGGGCAACGCGGTGGCCGTGCGCCTCTGGCTGGACAACACCGAGAACGACCTCAACCAGGGGTGGGTGAGCGGCCGGCGGGCGGGTGGGCTGGGACCGCGCAGGAGAGAGACGGGGCCGGCGGCGCCTTCCGGCCGCGCGGCTTTTTTGGGAGCGCAGCTGCTGAGCCGCCGGCGGGCTTGGAGGGAAGAGCCGGGCGAGCGGGGAGCCTGGTGGCGGCGGCGGCGGCACTCCAGCCGGCGGCTGTACCAGGCCTCTCCTCGGTGGGCGCTGGCCCCGCGGGCTCTCCGCGTAACGCCCGGCCCAGCGGAGGCGAGGCGGGGGCCGGGGCAGGCCGGAGCGCCTCCCTGTCCCGCTCCGATCTCCTTTTAAGGGCCGCCCAATGGCGCTGGCCGCAGAAGAGGGAAGGAGGGCGGGCAGGAGTGGTTGGGCGCTGCCTCCCTCCCTTCCTCCCGCGACCGCTTCCCTCGCTTCCTGCCTCCCTGCCAGGGACGACCATGGCTTCAGCCCCCTGCACTGGGCTTGCCGCGAAGGGCGCTCCAGCGTGGTGGACATGCTGGTTATGCGCGGCGCCCGCATCAACGTCATGAACCGGGGAGACGACACCCCCCTACACCTGGCCGCCAGCCACGGGCACCGCGACATCGTCCAGAAGGTGGGGACCCCCGGGCACCCTGCCTGGAGGCTGCAGCTCCCTGCCCGGGTGGGGGGAGGGAGTGGCATGTAGGCGGCGGGGGGGGGGGAGGGAGCTGTTGCGGTCGGATACCCTGATCCTCCCTTCTCTCCCGGTGCAGCTGATCCAGTTCAAGGCAGACATCAATGCCGCCAACGAGCATGGCAACACCCCTCTCCATTACGCCTGTTTCTGGGCCCAGGAGCAGGTGGCGGAGGTGAGTGGGGACTCCTAGGGGCCTGTGCCGAGCCTGGTCGTAACCCCAGGTCGGTTGGGTTGTGAGTAGCGGCTGTCTCCCTGTTTCACCTTCCCTCCCTGTTGCTGCCAGGACCTGGTAGCCAGTGGGGCGCTGGTCAGCATCTGCAACAAATACGGAGAGACGCCTCTGGACAAGGCCAAGGAGCCCCTGCGGGACACACTGAGAGGTGCGCCTTCTTCTAGCTGACCTCTGATGCCTTCTTCCTTCTGCTCCTGCTCCTTGGTGGGGAGGACAGAGTTAGCCTGTGGACCTGCCTCGTTGGCCAGCGCCAAGAGTGGTTCTTTTCCTTGTGGCCCCTTGTGTGAAGCTGGCCACCAGGTTGTCGCCTCAAAACTCGGGCAACCCAAGTTTGGTGTAGAGCTCTTAAGAATTTCATTCCTGATTTTGGGAGAGGCACTTCTCTGCCCATTTGAAAATGCAAATCAAGTAATTCATTCTGAATAAAAATCACTTATTAGGGAGTAGTCACTGTGAGAGAGACCCAAGTGTCCTCATGAACCACCATTGAGCCAGCAATGGGTTGTAGCTGCCAAAATAGCCAACACAATCCTGGGATGATGTCAAGAGAAGTGCTAGCACCACTTTATACTGCACTAACGAGAAGAAACTGTGTCCAGTTCTGGTCACCCCGACACCAAAAAGATTCTGAGCCCTAGAAAACAGGCACAGGAGAGCAACAAAGATGAGGAGGAGTCTGGAAGTACGATGAACCTTGCAGGAGAGACGGGCAGCATAGAAAATGAAATGAGTAAAGATTGAGGGAGCCTATTGAAGAGAAGGACAACTCCCTTCTAGTACTCGAGGTGCCACCACAGAGAAGAGGGGGCTGACATTCTCCAGAACACTGAAGGCAGGACAAGAAGCGACAGGTGGAAATTTGTGAGAAAGGGAGAACAATTATTCAGTGGAGCAACCTCCCTCCCAGAGCTGTGGATGCTCCTTTGCTGGAGGTTTCCAAAAAGAGACTGGACAGCCATTTAACCGGGGGTTTTGTATAAGGTCTCCTGCTTTGAGCAGGGGTTGGACTGGAAGACCTTTGACGTCCCTTCCAGTCCCAGGAGCTTGTCTTCTGGGTGCATTCACACTTGGTCGTAAGGCAAAAACTGGGTCCCCCCCAAACCCAGAGATCTTTCAGTCCCATCTTGGCGTTTGCTTCCCCCCCCCCATTTCCTTGGGTAAATTCAGGGAAGGGTGGTGGAAGGAGCGGCCAGAAGAGGGAAGGGGGGGTCAAGCTCTCCGGCCTCCCTGACTGCTCCCTCTGCTGTTCTAGAGCGTGCAGAGAAGTCCGGCCAAAGCCTGACCCGCGTCCCCTACAAAGACACATTTTGGAAAGGCACCACGCGGACTCGACCACGTAAGGGTGGCCTTCCCAGAGGGAGGCAAGCGGGGCTTGTGGGTCAGAGCTGGGGGCCGAGCTGGAAGGTCCTGACCCTCTCCTGGGCCTTTCTCCTTTCCTAGGGAACGGGACCCTGAACAAGCTGGCGGGGATTGACTTCCGGCAGTTGAGCCTGGGCCACAAACTCAACGAAAACCAGTCTGGAGAGGTGCTGTTTCCAGCTCCCCTGCCCTGCCCTCTCCCGGCGCAGATGGGGAGGGGGCTCCCCCGTTCCTGCCCCAGCCGGGTCGGCCAGGTGCCCTGACCCCTCCGCTTCCCTGCAGCTCTGGAAGGGGCGCTGGCAGGGGAATGACATCGTCGTCAAGGTCCTCAAGATCCGCGACTGGACAACCCGGAAGAGCCGGGACTTCAACGAGGAGTACCCCAAGCTCAGGTGTGGCAGCAGCAGCTGAACGGGGTAGGGTGTATGTGTGTAGGACTGGGGGGACTCTGTCCTGCCCCCCTCGCTCTCAAGCGGCACCCGGGCCTGCCTTTGGGTGTGACAAAGCTGACCTGAGCCGTCTCTCCCCACAGGATTTTCTCCCACCCCAACGTGCTGCCGGTGCTGGGTGCCTGCCAGTCGCCCCCTGCTCCACACCCCATCATCATCACCCACTGGATGCCCTACGGCTCCCTTTACAACGTGCTGCACGAAGGCACCAGTGAGTCTGGCCACTGGCTGGGGAGGGGGCTCCTTACAGCCCAACAAGGGGGGGAGGTAGCAGAGGCCCCGAAGTCACTGACCGGCTACGTGGAACGGTTGGCCACACCACACTAGGCCGTTCCCACAACAGAAACAACTCCCAGGTTGCAACTGAGCTATGTCTTATGGAAGCTGAGGACCAGCTGGGTCAAAGTATGCCATGCAATCCCCCCCAAATTAAAATAGCTTGTCCCAGGGCATCCTGAAGCATCCCTTTGACCCTGTCCATGGGGGAGGAGGGCGATGTCCGGCACCTCCCTTGCATTAGGTCTGTTGGGCATAAGCAAGCAGGAAGAGGAGTTTACTTCAAAGCACTCCAGCTTTATTCCATGCTACCCTTGCCCAAGAATCTCCTGATGGTCAAGGCAAATTGGCACCAGGTAAGACTCAACTTGCAGGGTGTGTGTGTGAGCTGGATTTGGAGCTCTTGTGGGAGTGTAGATAGTCATCCAAAGTGATGCATTGACCGACCCAGCCCTTGGCCTCTGCCTGGTTATCTACTGCACGTCTGCAGTGGGCTGCTCTGTGAGAGGCTGGTCTTCGGAGGGCCAGTGGGCAGCCCCTCTCTGGGAATGGAATGTTCCTCTTCTGGGGGGATGGGGGGGTGGCCCTCTTGTAGCTTTTTTCCTTCCTCCTCTGCAGTCCTGCGGAGTAACCCCTGCTGAATCGGAAGCCCCAATTTCTCTGGGCGCAAAGTGACCCTGCTGGCTTACTGGAAAGTATTTCCACTGCTGCCAGTGAAAAAACAGTGAAAGTACAGCTGCCAAAACTGTGAGATTTTGATGCCCATTTGCCTGAAACTCCTCAGAGAATTGTGGAAGGGCAGTGGGCTCAACGTCTCTACAAAAAGTGAAGTAAAAAAGGCTAGAAGGAAATTCAGAACAAATCACTAAAAGAGAAAGTCCAATAGGCAACTGACCTGAAGATGGCTTGGACACATTCACAGCTGGGACACCCCTGCCCAGGCCTGAATTGACACCACCCCTTGCCCACGGAGCCTGCTTGCTTTTTCTCGCTCGTTCTAATTTTGGGCGTGACTTTGTGCCCTTCAGCCAAGCTTCGGCTCGGCGGGAGTGGCTGCCACCCCAGGTGCCCATTGCAGGAAGGAGAGGCTCCTTTCCACCCCTGTGGGTGAGCTTAACTCGCTGTCCAAGGAGCAAGTCTTCCCCAGGGATGATGGCCGGATGGGAACGTGGGGCGAGAGGCGTTCCTGGCAGCCGAAGCGGGGCATCCAGGTGACTGGGCTGCTCCAAGCCTGACTGGGAGCCGTGCCCTGAGTGGGTCAGGACTTGCCCGAGAGGGGCTTCGGGTCATCAGTTCAGAACAGGGAAAGGCTCTGTGCCCCAAGGTGTTGTGCTTATTTTCCCATCTGCCTGTGGGGCTCAGCTTTTGCCCCACTGCAGAGGAGATGCTTGGGCACCCCCGCTCCCTCTCTTGGCCCAGGGCAGGCCAGGCTCACTGGACAGGAAGGCAGATTCTGATAAACCCTTAGAAAAAACATGGGGGGGGGGGTTTAAGAACAGCTTGGCATCAGAGCCAATACCCCGGAGGGAGGGGCGGAGCCCCTTGGTTGAATTTGGCTCCCTCCCTAAGGAGGGGGGCAGGATGGTCTCCAAGGCAGGTCCCAGGTTTCCATTTCGTAACCTCCCATTCACCCAAGATGACCCTCCCACGTCCCCAGGGGCCCCTACCCTTCCTGCCTTCTCTCTCCAGACTTTGTGGTGGACCAAACGCAGGCGGTGAAATTCGCCCTGGACGTCTCTCGGGGAATGGCCTTCCTGCACACCTTGGAACCGCTCCTCCCGCGCCACTATCTTAACAGTCGTGGCATTATGGTCAGTTGGGGGCAGGGAGGGAGTTTGGCACACCGGGCAGAGCGGACTCAGGGCACAGCCTCACCCGTCTCTTGCCCAGAACAGATAGACGAGGACATGACGGCCAGGATCGGCATGGCGGATGTGAAGTTTTCCTTCCAGTGTCCGGGCAGGATGTATGCCCCAGCTTGGGTGGCACCAGAAGGTGAGCGGGAGGTGGGGGGAGCAAGGGCTTCTCTGCTTCCCCAGCCGAGCCCTTCCGCAGCTTCTCCCAGGCAGCTCCTCCAACCCCCCCCCCCCCGTCTCCTCACAGCTCTACAGAAGAAGGCCGAGGAGATTAACCGGCGCTCAGCAGACATGTGGAGTTTTGCGGTGCTCCTCTGGGAACTGGTGACCCGGGAAGTGCCATTCGCTGACCTCTCCAACATGGAGATCGGCATGAAGGTGAGCTTTGGGGGAGGACGAAAGGGCCTTGCCCGGCTGTCCAGCGGGTGCCAGCAGGTTCTGGTGTCTCTTTGCAGGTCGCCCTGGAGGGGCTGCGACCCACCATCCCCCCCGGCATCTCCCCTCATATTTGCAAGCTGATGAAGATCTGCATGAATGAAGACCCTGCCAAGCGCCCCAAATTTGACATGATTGTCCCTATTCTTGAAAAGATGCAGGAGAAGTGAGGGGCCCGTCTGGCAGCTCCTGGCCGGCCCTAAGTGCCTTCAGGAAGAGCTGCGGCCCGGAGGGCTCCCTGCGCACGGTACGGATGGGGGGGCTGCCCGTTGAGAGCAGGCCCCGGCAGGGCGCTGCTCAGCCTTGCACCCTCCCTTCTGCCTTCACGCCCCGCATCATCTCCGGCCACCTCTTGTGCCAAGACCACCCAGCACTCCCTCCTGGCTATGCTACCGTTTTTTATATTTTCTACACAGCCCCAGGACAAAGTCCCCTGTGGCCCAAATAAACAGCTGTCACTGAAGGAGGGACTTCTGTGCTGCTTCCGCAGGGAGGGGATCCAGGCCATTAAGGGCTGCCCGGCTGAGTGCGGGCAAGTGTATCTGCAAAGGCAGCAGCATCCGGCCTCTCTGGCCGGGATCCTTTGGCCACAGAGATGCTACTGGTCTGCGAGGAGCACATTTTCCCCTTGCCAACAGGCAGCCAGGCAGAGCCTCCCCCCCGCCAGAAGAAAAGGCTGCCTGGGAGGGGGGAGGTTGACTTTGCCTGCTGGCTGCCTCCAGCAACTGGGGAAGAGAGGTAGGAGGACACATCGCTCCCCCAAGAGGGAAGCCCCTGTTGCTGACCCCTGGGGGTGGGCACTCTGTAATGATGAAGGCTGTGGGGCACTGGGGATGCTGGCTTAAGGCCCTCCCTGAGGAGGGGGCTGATGCTGGAGGGAGGCACCAGCAAGGTGTGCCCCCATTCAGTGGGTATTCTCTGCCCACCAGCCCTGCTGGCCAGGAATACAGCAGCAGAGCACCCAGTGACAGGGCAGCAGGGGGTCCTACCAGAAACCAAAACAAAGGGGGGGGGGGAGATAGACTTTAATAAAGAATAGGGTGGGGGAAGGACCTTCAGGTGAAATAATGGGGCTTCTTCACGTTGATGCCATACTCGGCCAGTGCAGGGGCCAGATCCTCCATGGTCAGCGTGTGCTTCTTGTCCTGGAAGAGGGAGAGGTGGCAGCAACTGAGGGGTCAACGCCTGCTCCCCAAAGTGCCCCATCCACACCCACCCACCCACCTTGCTCTTGTTGCGGGAGCTACAGGAGGCCGTGCCCTTCATCTTGCAGTGCTGCAGGGCGTCGTTGGCCACGTCCGAGATGAACTTCTGAGCCGCCAGCGAGACCAGCCGGATGCTGCGGGGCGGGAGGGGAGGGAGAGTTGGCTCGGCCCGGCCGGACTCGCCCAGCAGCCCTGGGAGCCCCGCCACACTTACATGCGCGGGTCCGACGCCTCGAAGCCGGCGCGGTTCAGGTAGTAGCCGGTCACGGCGTCCGGGATCTGCAAGCGCGGGGCAAAGTCAGGCGGGAACGGGGCCGCCACCCACCGCCGCCACCCCCGGCACCCACCGTGGGAGTGTAGTCCTCCAGCTGCAGCAGGAAGTCCACGAGCGGCGCGCCGGACGAAGCCGAGCCGAGCGGCGGGGCGGCGGCGGCGGCGGCCTTGGCCTCCCCGTTGGCGGCGCCCGCGTGTGGTGCGAAGACTCCGTTGGGCAGCGGCGGCGGGGGGCCCTCGACGGGCTGCGCCAGGGAGGAGGCGGCGGCGAGGCCTGCGGGCGGGCGGGCGGGCGGCGTGAGAGCGGCCGGGCGGCGCGGGCCCCCTGCCCGCCCCCCCTCCCGCCCCTCCGCGGCCCGCCACTCACCAGCCGCCCCGCCGGCGACCCCCGCCACGCCCGGGCTGCCCTTGGCGCCCGCGTCCCCGGCGGAAGCGGCGAGGGGCGGCGGAGGCGGCGGCGGGAGGGCCGCGGGCGCCGCGGGGCCGGGGTCGGGCTCCGCGACGCCCCCTCCCGTGCCGGACCCCCCGCCGCCGCTGCTGCTGCTAGTGCCCGCCCCGCTGGCGCTCATGGATACGGCGAGCTCCGGCGGCGAGGCGGCTTTTGCGCAGGCGCGCCGACCCCCGGAAGCGGGGCGGGGCGGACGCGGCTCCTCCCCTCCGGCGCCCAGCTCGCGGGGCGGGGTTTGCTCAGGAGGGCGGGCTGGAGGGGGAGGGGGCGGGGCCTCCTTTACGCTCCGGTCCAGAGCCGCCCGAAGGTCCGAGGCAGCCGTGCGGGGCTTCCCTTCTTCCGGCCCGGAACAGCTGGGAGACGGCCCGGCTGATGCCGCCACCAGCACCTGCCGAACTGGGCCTGCAGCCACCGGAGGGAGAGGCCTGAAGGAGCCTGAAGTAACAGTCGCAGCCGCTGCTTCGAGCCGCTTCTGGCACGTCGGGGCAAAACCTTCCATGCCCGGATCCGGTGAGCCCCGCCCGCCCGCTTTCCTTGTTGGCACCTGATTGGGCAGAATCTCGCCAAGCCAAAACTATTAACTTTCTAAGCTGCCCGGACGAATCCGGGGGGGGGGGCTTCCGTGAACCCACCCACCCCCCCGGGGCTCCGCCGCCTCTCGATCCGGGCCTTCCAGTTGGGAAACCGCCCCCCGCCCCACCTGCCGTAAATTGCACTCGATTTCAGCGCAGCTTTTCACCAAATACCCCATAACGAAACATGGACCGAATGGCACGATAGGCGAAGACAGGGGCGGCTTAAAAATAATTTTCAAAACGCCCAATGACTTCTCATCAAATTGGGAAAATATTTTTAGTGACCAAAGGATCAGTCCGAATTCCTTTATTTTTCAGTATTTTTATTAATCATCTTAATGGAGAAAACTTTTCAGATCTGTACATGATACAAAATTGGGTGGGACGAGCACCCGCCTTCCTTTACCTTTGGGACCTGAGGCCGTCATGTCAACTGAGGCCGTCATGTCAAAAAGGGCAAATGTAATTTGAGGCCCAATCAACACAAGCGGTTTCTGCAATGTGCAGCTTCTTAAGATTTTGAGAAATAAGCACTTTGGTTTCTTCTCCTTTATGTGATCTGCCCAGCTGTGGGCAACACATTTTAAGATTCAGAGAACTTGGAGCAGGTTAAAGAGAAGGAGAAAGACGACCAGGGGCCTGGAAACCAAGACAGACTACAAAGAAAGTGGGAATGAGGGGGCCTTGGTGGTCTCTCAGCTTGTTGGCTTCCTTGTCGACATTTCATGATCAAACTGCGTAACATCATCAGTGCTGGAAGGGAGGGAGGGAGGGAGGGGCCTTTTATACGCTATGGCAGCTCGCCCTGTCAGTGCTGGCAGGAGCGGTCCTGTCCTATGGACAATGGAAAGCGCTTAGCCTTCTTCCAGGGCACTTCAGAGTTCCAGGATGCCTTTTACTCGTGTGTGGAAGACAAAACCATGGATTTAAGTTTCAGGAAGGCAGATGACTGGACAGTGGACCTTGCTTTTGGAGAGGTGGGGGTGATGTGGTCAAGCCATGTCTGATAAGGCTTGTATCTGAATTCCTGCCATGATTAGGGCTTGGACCTGACGGCTTCAACAGCACCAACTGACTTGGGATTTGGGACAATTTCTTCCTGGTGGGCCAGGACAATCTCTTGCCCCAAATATAGCTGTGTGATGTGAAGCGTTCCGACCCAGTCCCAAGGTTTCAAAGTGGGCCAGCAACTGTCTGCAGTGCCTAATGGGAAGCTGGTGGGTGGGGCGTTTGTGCTCAATAGAGGATGGGGGTCTGTTGCAAACCTCCCAATGCCCCACATACTGGCAACATCACATTTCACACCTAAAATAGGATTCGGAATTCAAAGCACTTTGAAAACCTTTGCGCAGCACTAACACACCCACGCCCCGCTTCCTTTGCCCCCATGAGCCCCAAAGACCACATTGTATGGCTGGCAGTGGCTGGTCACCAGCCCTTGATCTCTTGGGATTAGTCCCCAACGACCACCTCCTATTCCCACTTGGAAAAGAGGAACCCCTTAGGGCAGGAGAAGGATAACCACCACCCCCATGTGCCACTATAGCCTACCAGTCACTAACCCCCCCCACACATACACCCCGTCCATTCCCCCCCCCGACTGCAAAGCAGACCACCAGCAAGGCCCAGGCCATGTCATGCTAGCCCAGGAGGCCACGCAGCAGCTGAGGGAAATTGGGGGTCCCCCAGCCTGTGACGGGGTCCCAAGCAGGGGCGGCACAGAAGCCTTGGCCTTGCACAGCAGCATCCAGGCAGGACAGATGGCATCCGTGGGTCACCTGGGGGGAGGCAGAGGAAGGAGGGCTTTTATCACCTGCCCAATATTCAGCATCCCGCTCAGCCAAGCCGGCTTCTCTCTTTCTAGTTGCCATGCCGGACAGCAAGATCACAGCCCCAGAGATCGGGCTCCCAAACTGCACCCCCCCCCAGGCACTCACGTCGTAGAGGGCAGTGCTGTTCCCTCCTTCCTGGAGCCGGTACAGGGCAGGGTTGAGGAAGCCCAAGGCAGGCAGCCCTCGCTGCAAGCGCCAGTTGTTGATCAGGGCAATCATGCCCCCCACCACAGGGGTGGAGGCCTGGGGTGGAGGAAAGCAGGAAGGTCACCAGGGGCCAGCAAGCTCCCCCAGCCCAGCAGACAGACAGCCGAGGCCCTGGGAGAAGGCCAGCAGCGAGGGCCGCATACGCACAGAGGTGCCCGAGACCCAGGGCACGGGGACGTGGTTGGTCACCACCCAGTAGTTGTCCGAGAGAGCCGCCAAATCCGGATAGGCTCTGCCTGTGCTGTTGTAATAGCTGGCGGGGGGCAGCCGAGGCGACGTGCTCAGGAAACGCTTCACGGCCGTTACCTGTGGGCAGGAAAAGGGGGCAGCCTGTCTACTGCTCCTCCAGCAGGCTGCCTCCTGCCCCACAAGAACCTCTGTGGGCCGCTTGCCAGCCACGGCTGTTGTGCTTTGCAACCAAAGGCTCTCCCTGCCACTGCTGAGGGACGGGTGGGGGTGGGATGGCTCTGCCTGTTGACTCACCTGGTAGTCGGGCATGGGGAAGACATTGCTGAACCCCCCTCCGCTGATGTAGTCTGCCACCTCCGCGCCTACCAGGAAGGGCTGCCGGAAGGCCGTGCCCCCAACGGTTGTCACGTAAGGGCTGTAAAGCAGGTGAAGCTTTGGGGTCTCCCCAGCCTGGTGCCCGGCCCTCCAGCCACCCATCCGACCCCTGAGGCAGGAAGGAGCCCACCCAATGGGAGCGGGCACCAGAGATGGCTGCCTGCACCACAGGCCAGGCCGATCAAATTCTGCTGCTCTTCACTGCCACCTCCAGCAGCAGCCCCTCGCTCGCCTCCTGCCCAGCCGGCCCCTTCAGAGGAAATGGGATGGGTGCACAAAGGGTCCGAAGAGCCCCCAGCCCCAGGGCCTTTCTCTTCACCTGGAGGCTGGGAAGCTGGGCCGGAAGACATGCTTCTCCCCCGAGACTGCACGGCAGCCGGCCCCAGAGTCACCTGCAGGATGGGGTTAAAGAAACTCTGGTCATTCCTCCTCCCTTTCCAGCCACTTAATTCTTTTATTTATTTGTGAAATTTATTTGCCGCCTATCTCGCCATGGTGTAAGGTAGCTTAAAACAATAAAAAGAAAAAAATGAAGAGTGTAAACAGAAATAAAATAGTAGGACAACAAAATAATGAAAAAGAACACAATGAGGCTCTGTAGATTACACACACACACATTTACATACCTTCACCCATACATATATACACATATACACATATACATATATACATATATATATATAAGGAATATATATATTGTGTTAGGGAGTCGTTTGTCAATAAGGGCGGGTTTCCAAATGGCTGGTAGGCGGGAGGTATCATCTCGCTTGTTATTTAAATTTAATATTTTAATAACAGAATAATCAGAGAAGCCATCGAGATAGAAAAACGCCCACACAGCATGAACAAGCGAGATGATACCTCCCGCCTACCAGCCATTTGGAAACCCGCCCTTATTGACAAACGACTCCCTAACACAAAAAATGATACCAGACCCACACTCACAAAAACCACACAGGATGTCACCACCACACATCCACGCAAAAAGCAAACCCAAAGCCACACCGATGATGAGGCACGACCACAAACCAGAAGCCAGACCACAGCTGCATCATTAGCCACTTTAAACCCCTCCAATCCATACATGAAGCAAACTGACACCCTCCATGAAGAGGAAGCACAACCACGAACGCGAAGCCAAAAAATAGCAAGGCAGCCCAAAATCTTAAACCCCTCTGCAACTCAGACTAACCTGAGCACAACCAAACAGAACACTCCCCCAGCCAATCAGAGCACAGCCAAGCCCCTAACCATTCAGAACACACCTCCACCCAATCAGAACACAGCCAAGCTCCCACCCAATCAGTTCATACCCCCACTGGCAGTTAAAAGGAAGAAACAGCTAAGACCACACATTGCTGCTCAAAGCACGAAGCTGAAAACACCAGCCTGAAGATGACGAATGGAACTTCGTCGAAACATCGCCAAGACACTTCCAATTTTACGCGGGAGAAAACCCGAACAACCAAAGACCTATATATATATATATTCAAAAGATAAAAACGAGCACCAGGAGATAAAACAATTAAATGTTTAATAAATAGATAACCTAGCTTTCGGTATTGCTGCCATCGTCAGGGTGTTAAAAGCCAGAGGGTGGGGGAGCTCGTTTATAAGCACAAACGCAACTCGCCTGCACATGGCTCACAGACCTCGTTATGGGGCCCGGTCGATTGATCCTCCCATCACTCATGTCAGATGTATTTCTGAGTTCTAAGTTCCTGCAGCTGAGACTCAGAAATACATCTGACATGAGCGATGGGAGGATCAATCGACCGGGCCCTATAACGAGGTCTATGAGCCATGTGCAGGCGCGTTTGTGCTTATAAACGAGCTCCCCCACCCTCTGGCTTTTAATACCCTGACTGCCATCGAAAGCTAGGTTATCTATTTATTAAACATTTAATTGTTTTATCTCCTGGTGCTCGTTTTTATCTTTTGAATATGTATACACCCAGGAGACTACGTTCCTCAATTTTTAGGTTAATTTTTAATATATATATATATGTGTGTGTGTGTATGGGTGGGTGGGTGGGTGGGTGAAGGTATACGAATAGCATGTGTATATGTGTGCTATGTATGTGTATGGGTAGATGTATACTTTCTTTTGAGAACAGGTAACAGAATTTCATTTTTAATGTGCTCACAGGACGCTTACAGTAAAAATGACAATAAAATTATCTCTCTAGATATGATAACCAAAAAGATGGGCGGGTGGAGAGCAGGGTGCAAGGGGGGGGAGGCGGAGTGTGCCATCAACCTAGCAGCCCCCTCCAGCGTGGAACCGGCCCGTCTGGACCCCGGGCTAACCAGCAGGGCCAGGTCTTCAGGCTCAGAGGGAAGGAGGTTGGGGCAGATCTTACCCTGGAGGGCAGGCTGTGCCAAAGGGCAGAAGGCTCTTCTTCTGGATCCCGATAGTTGGGAGTTCTTTGACTGATGGGATCCGAAGGAGGCCTTCTCTGCCGGCACAAGTAGGAGGGCTGGCCTGGACCGGTGTGCCACTGAGGGAGGGCTTTAAAGGTCACAAGCAACACCTTGCTGCACTCGGACAGGGAGCAGAGGTGTACTATGGGCCATCCAGCTGAAGCTTGCAAATGGATTTCAAGGGTAGTCCCATGTACAATGCATTGCAGTAGTCCAGACAAGAAAGGACCAGGGCTTAAATAACTTAGTGCAAGACGTGCTGATTCGGAAAAGGTCGCAGCTGGTGCACAAACGGGAGGTGTGCAAAAGCTCTCCCTGTCATGACCACCCCTGGTTCTTCAAGCAGGAGACGCAACTCCGGGAGGACTGAAGTTGTGAATTGGGCCTGGACAGGGAAGTGCAACCCTGTCCATGGTTAAGGATGACAAACAGATCCTGAAGCCCCTCAGTCTTTCTAGGGTTGTGCTGAAGGCTGTTGTCCCCACCCAAGCCCCCACAGCCTCCAGGCATTGTGAGAGGGCAGAAACAGCACCGATTGGGTCACCCTGTGTAGAGATGCGGGGCTGAGCATCAGCCTCTCTCAACCTGGGTGACGGACAAACTCACCCAACCGCCTCGTACGGACGTTGAGCAGGAGAGAGGAGAGCACCAGGCCCTGTGGGGCTGCAAGCGAGTGGCCAGCGGGATGGGCCTCACACTGCCCATCCATACCGGTCAGGACCAGCCTTGGAGAAAGGAGCTGAACCAGCGCAGAACTCTGTTCCAGCCCCAACTCACAGTTGGCCCAAAAGGATGCCATGGCCAACGGTACTGAAAGCCACCGAGATGTCAGATCACCACCCCATCCCGCTCCCACCAAAGATCACCCGGGAGCGCAACCAAAGCGGCCTCCGGGCCTGAATCCCGACTGAAAGAGGTCCAGGAAATCCGTTTCATCCAGGACCCCCTAGAGCTGCCGAGCAACCCCCTTCCCCCCCACTTCCTCAAAAGGAAAGATGGGAGACTGGGTGACAGTTGTCCAGGCAGACGGGATTGAATGATGTTTTTTTCAGGAGAACAAACCAGGATCGAGGAAGTGGGGGAGAAGAGGCCCTCCTTGTGTCCCAGCCAAGGCTTGCCACCCACTGCTCGCCTTGGCATGGCTGCCCTGGCCTCCTGCTTGCTGCCCTGAAGTGGCGTCTGGGCACGGGGCTGGCGGCCCTTTGTTCCCAGCCTGAGGGGGGGAAGCCTGCACGCACCTGAGGCAAACAGGATGCTGATACCGCGGGCGGCTGCCTTCATGAACTCTGTGTTTACCCGCTTCATGTAGGCCTGAGAGAGGCTGTCCTCATCGTCCCCATAGCTGACCGAGTGGACCCACGGCAGCCCACTGGTGTTGCTGAGCAGGAGCAGCCACTGCAGGAAGGGTTCCTGGCTCTCGTGGCGACCTGGCAGGACCACAGAGGAGGAGGAGGAGGAGGAACTGCCTTCATCCAGGCAACCCTCCCTACCTCCACAAAGCCCCTCCCCCACAGCCTCTGGCCTCTCCTGGGGCAGCCAGACCAGATCCCCACTGCTCCTTCTCCAACTGGGCCCCTCAGGAGACACAGCCACCATCAGCTGGCACCTGCCGACCGGCGTTCCCAGCTGAGCCCCACAGAGCTGCACTGGGCTGAGGAGAGGAGAATACCTGCATTGCTGAAGACCCAAGTGGAGATGTTGGCTCCTGTGCTCATGAGATACTCCACGTCCAGACTGGCCTCCAGGCCGGCTGAGCCAGAGCCCTGGTGGCCAATGACGTGGTCGACCTGGGAGTGGTGGGGGAACGTCCTGCCAAACAGCTGCATGAATTCAGCCAGGTCGGCCTGGTGGAAGTACTGCTCTAGGAACTGGCAGAGAAGAAGCCGTGGGGCTCAGCGGGTGCCCTCCAGCACAGCTCAGAGATGAGCACGCTGGGCAGGGATACGGCCTGGCCAGAGCAGCAGCCTAGAGCTCAGCCTGGCCTGAGACGAGCCTGCCAGCCCCCTGACCTCCAAATGCCAAGCGGAAAGGTTGGGCCCCTACCTGGGCACAGGCCTGGCTGTTGTGCGAGAAGTTGCCCACATCCGCCCGGGTCAGGTTGTATCGCTGGCGGAGCACAGCCGGGGTCACGCCCAGGTGGAAACTGGACCGCCCGTCCTGTCCTCCCACTGGCGACTTCTCCATGGCCCAGGCCCGGCTCACCACCTTCTGCTCGGCTGGGAAACGGTGCAGCCCCCCCACTTAGAAGGGGCGAGACAGAAAAAGGAGGTCACTGTTGCCTACAGCAGATGAGGCACATCCAGCAAAACATCAGAACAGAGCCCCCGAATCAGCCGACTCAGCCACCCCCCCCCCGAGGCCCCCTACCAAAATCCACGTGGTCCACTAGCTCCCGATCAAGCTGATAAGGCAGAGGGGACCTTATGATCCTGCGAGCGTCTTTCGCGTAACGGTGGAACTGCGCTCCCGGGAGAAGGCGCTCAGCTGTGCTGCAAGTGGAAATCCAGAGCTCAGGTGCCCCCAGTCTTCTTGCGGGCCGCTCTGCCAGCCTCCCCAGATCTGGCCCAACTCACCTGGCTGGCATCGAGCACTGCAGAAAGTCCAGGGTGCGGACTCTCTGGCAGTCCCGGACCCCGTGAGTCGCCAGCCACGTGTCCACGCTGCCCAGCGTCTGAGGAGAGGGGGAGACCAAGGCGCCCACCTCGGCCAGCGAGAGGAAGTGCCCTGCCAAGGGGTGGATAGAAGAGGCAGGTCTTCAGGGGGTGGTTCTGTCCTACATCCCCACAGGACGTTGGGGGGGAGCTGGTTGTGCAGCCCTCCTCTGTCCCTCAGCCCCCCCCTCCAGCAGCTCTTCCAGGTGACCAGTCACTGTTGGGCAGCAGAGCCCCCCATGGCACGTCTTGTCAAAGGCTGCCCTGGACTCTAAAATTCCCAGACCTTTGAGGCAAAGTTCCCTGGAGCCACCGTCCCTCCCGCCTCCTTCCAGAAAAGACCCCCCCAATGACCCCACCCCCAGGAAAGAGGCGGCTGCCGGCTGGATAAGCAAAGTCCAGGGGGTCTCCTATGGCCTCCCTAGGCCGGCCTCCCCAGGAGGAGACGGCGGCTGGGTGGTCGAGGCTCCTCAACCAGACACCCTCTCCCGCTTCTAAGGTCCCGGGCTATCGGGCTGGAAGTCGGATCTGGGCCCCCCAAAAGCAGCTCCCCCAGACAGGCGGGGGTACGCAGCCGGAGCCGCAGCAGGCGCCCGTACCGTAGTCGGGCGAGTCGGGTGAGGAGACGCGGCGCACCAGCTCGCTCAGCCGCTCCACGTTCCGTTGCCGAAGCGCAAAAGTCAGGCTCAGCCGCTCTGAGGGGGCCGCGCGGCCCAGGGAGGACCACCCTTCGGGGATCCTAGAGGGAGACGGAGGTGGTCACGGCCCGGGAGCCCCGGCAGTTCTGCAGGGGCGGGGAGGAATCCAGCCCCGGCCGGCCAAGCTCCTGCCAAGCCAGCAGCCCCTCCCGTCTTCATCCTCGAGCTTCTCGCTCACCGGAAGGGCTGGTCCGGCTCCGGAGCCAGGGCGGCGGCGGCGCTGGAGCGGAGGAAGGCTGGCGAGAGAAACAGCAGCAGCAGCAACGGCGGCAAGTGGCGGCGTCTGGACGGGGCGGGACGGGGCGGCGGAGGGGGATCCAGACAGGCGAGGACGACCGGCCGCCCCCTCCGGCCGCCCCCCTCGGACCGACCGCTGCCCACCGCTCTCGCTGCGCCCCGGAACTCCGTCCGCGCCATCCCAACCGAAAGTGCCCCTAGTCAGGCGCTTGCTGTCACGTGACTGGGGGCGGACGGCGAGGGGGCGGAGATTGGCGGCCCTTTGCGCGTGCTCAGAGGCTGCGCTAAGGCTCCGGCTCCTCCCGGCGGCGGGTGCTGTGGCTTCCGGCGGGGGGAGGGGTTCGGCCGGTGCGGGTCTTTCGAGAGCCGTCGGGGAAGCTCCCTCTTCTCTGGAGCGATTCCTCGGGCGGGACTCGCTGCTTGGAGGAGCCCTTCTCCTTCTGCAGTTGCGCGTCCCCCCGTCGGACAGCAGCGACGACGGCGTCCCCCCCCCCGTCTCGCCTTCGTTACCGCAGACGCTGCTGGCCTGCGGGGGGGGGCGAGGGGGATTCATTCCAGGGAAGAGCGAGTCCGAAGCTCCGCTGCAGCACTCGGGGAGCCGCGGGGCCCGGAGAAGGTGGACAGAGTCGCCCTGGGAGGATCGGTGCCTCCCCCGGCGGCTCCTGCGCAGAGTTGGGATGGTGGGGCGGCCTGGCCCGCCGGAGGACTGGGGTGGGCCCCGTCCGGGATCCATCTGTGCTGGAGAGTAGCTGAACTGCCGGTCTTCAAGCGGACCTCGCATACCTTCCCTTGCTCGTCTCCATCCGCAGCCCAGCTACAAAATGCAGAATACCAGAGTTGGAAGGGACCTTGGAGGTCATCTAGTCCAGGGCTTTTCAACCTTTTCACCCATTGTACCACTTTTAGGATACAGCAACATCCAAGGGCCATCAGTCACCTAGCGAGGTGTCGAAAACTTGATGACCAAAAAAAGAAAAAGAAAAAAGTGATAAAGTACAGGTAGTCCTCGACGTACAACAATTCGCTTAGTGGCTGTTCAAAGTTACAACGGCACTGAAAAAAGTGACTTATGACCATTTTTCACCCTTACAACCGTTTCAGCGTTCCCAAGGTCATATGATTTCATTCAGATGCGTGGCAACTGATTCATATTTATGACACCTGCAGTGTTTCAAGGTCATGTGATCCCCTTTTGCAACCTTTTGACAAGCAAAGTCAATGGGGAAACCAGATTCACTTAACAACCTTTTATATCAGGGGTGTCAAACTCAATTTCATTGAGGTCCTCATTAGCATTATGGTTACTGTGGGGAGGGGGTGTTCCCTTCCAGTTAGCAGCAGAGGTCATTCCAGGGTGCCATCAATGCTCTCTCGGTCCCGTACCTTGATCTGAGTCCTGGCTGAAAGAGATCCAGATAATCCTCCAGAGTCTCCCAAAGCTGTAGTCAGGGCAACCAGCCTCTCGTCTTGTAGACTGGATAACAGCTGTCCAGATGGGCGGGATCAAGCGAGGGCCCTTTGAGAAGCAGGCCACCTCCTTGGAAAGTCTGAGTGATTTTATCCGTCAGATGTTCAGCATATTCCTCACAGCGACCCATTCAGGAACCTCTGGTTTACTCCTTTCAAGGGGGGTCTAGGTCACCCAAAGCAGGGCCACCGAGCAGCTCTCTGCAAACAAAGTAAGGGTGGAGAAATATTCATCATACCTGCCCCATGAGCTGGGCTGGAACAGCGGCTCCAGCCCCATTGCGCTCCGAAGCCAAATAGTGACTCGTGCAGCTCTTGCAAAAGGGGTGTTGCAGGACTACGTTGATTGGCACCCATAACTGTTCAAGCTACAGGTTTTGGGTGGACTTCAAGGGCAGCCCCAGAGAGGGCATACTGCAATTCTCCACAGGAAGTGGTGGTCAGTTGGGTTGGCTCTAGACCTTTTGGCACCCTGGGCAGTCATATTCTGGCACCTTCTATTTTATGCCTTCCATTTTTATTAGGAATTTCAAAAAGTCACTCGTTTCATTTTCTCTTCCAAGATGTTAATCTTTACAGTTGAATTTTCAGCCACGGACATTTTTTTCCCTTTCTCAGCCCAGAATTGCTTTGCAGAGTGAGATGGCGGCATATAAATTAAATAAATAATATTTTACCCTATTTACATGGCATATGCAGTTGTAAGAGCAGCAGCAGCAGCAGCAGAAGCCATTGTGGCTATATAGCAAAATTTTCTCCCAATTAATATTAAATCTCGAGCCAGCACACTAACTTCTGTTACTGCTTTTTTATTGTATTTTTCAGCCTTTTCAATTTTGGAACTCCCTAAAATTTGACTGCCCCAGGTGGGCTCCCCCTTGGTAGTCAGGAAATCCTGATTCAGACGTCTCTGGCAAGACTGAGAACTCCCCAAGTCACCTCTTGGTCAGCTGTCATGGCTACGTGGATTCTTTACCTTCACCAGATGATTGTGTGGAAAATTGCTGAGGTATTTGTTCAACAAATTAAATTTCTTTTTAACTTGATCTGGGCCGAAATTGATTATGAGACATTAAATTGTGGTCACCTTTTAGCATAGCTGGCACCAGATTTTACTTCCTTCCTTTTGTGTTCTGTGGCTTTCCACGCTCAGTCTGGTTCCTTTTTTTTCCAATGAACTGTTCCAGGTGGCTCCTCCCACCCCATCCCCCACCCCGAAAGAATTTGCTACCTGCGGCTGCGAGAAAAGGGGGGCAGGGTGCCCCTGGTGGAGGAGCACCATCCGGGGTGCCCGTCTGTCTCCTGGCACCCTCTTCTGCCAGGGCACATGGGCCTGCCTGGCACCCAAGGACACAGGAGCCCGTTTGGGCTGGCCAAAGCAGGCGAGAGAGAGAGAGAGAGAGAGAGAGAGAAGTCTGGTTACACGGCGTGGTTTATTAAGGCATTAATTATGTCAAGAACTTGGCACTTGGGTTCTGGTCCATCAACAGGAGGGCCAGGATGGGCAGTGCCCACCACTCGGGCTGTCCAGCCACACACAAAAGGATACATAGAGAAAAAAGGACAATAAATAAGAGGCCCCTCCCCTCCCCCCCCCTGGAGTGGCCAGCTGAAAAGAGCTTGGCAAAGTTCGGGTTGTGCCTACGTAACAGGAGCGAAGGAGCAGAAAAAGGGCCTCTTGGGTGGAAAGGACCTTTCCCCGCCCGCAGCCCCCACCCTCCCCATCAGCCCCTCTGGGATTCACCCCTCCCGGGTCCTCTGCAGCAACAGCCCAGGGCTCAGTGTGCAGCGCCCTCTGGAAGCAGCAGCAAGTGGGGACCACAACCGGAAGGACTCCGCACCCCTCCCCTCCCCATCCCGCGGGCTCTGCCACCCTGAAGCCCTCAGGGTGGGGAGGCCAGCAGGAGCCCAGAGCAGAGGCCAGGAAGGGACCCGAAGGCATCCCGTTCTCCTGCGAGGCCAGTTTCCTAGGGACGTCTGTTAGGATGAGACATCCCAGAGGGAGCTTGGTCTGCCTCTGAAGCGGTTACTTCTGCCTTCCCAGGCACCCTGCACTCACTCCCACTGCTATGGGGGAAGAGCTGGAGGACGTTATTATTGCTCTATGTCAATTAGTACCATTGATCCTCCCTCCCCCCCGTTTAGGAAAGAGTTACTGCATGCTGCCAGCAGGGCTAGAGAGGCGGGGCATCTGTTGCCCTCCACAGCACCATACAAACTTCCTGAATTGCAGGGGGGCGGGCTTTGGGGTCAGGACAGCTGCAAGAGGGGGCCCTGTCTTGCCTCTGCCTGCAAGGGGGGAGGCCCAAAGTCCCAGGGAAGTAGGGTTGGCATGACTGGCCTTCCCCTGATCCAGACTGGACATCCAGCAGAGCATGCCAGCCCATGTGCCACAAGGGGAGTGTGCCATCTAGTCTATCTGTGCTCCTGCAAGCAGACCCTACTGGCAGGCACGCCCTGCACAAAAAGTCTCCTTGGAACTGCAGCTTCCCTGAGGCCAGGGAGCAGCAGGACTCCATGCGAGGCAGGGCCGGCGGGCAAGGCCAACATCCCCTGAAGTGGCCACTGCTCAGGCCCGTGCCTGGCTACCACTGAGGGCGACTCCTGGGCTGGCCCTAAATGCGGAGCTCTGCCTCTTCGGGGGCCTCCAAAGAGTGCTCAATGCTTATAGTGGAGGAGGCAGTGGGCCCCTGGGAGACCCCAAAAGGGGACACCATGGGAGATCGGGCAGCTAGAGGGGAGAGGGAGGGGGAGAAGCTGGGAGACATGGCTGCCGAGGAGAGGGAGCCCTCGTGGCTGATGGGAGACCGTCGGAGGGAGGACAGGTGGGGGAAAGCCCGGCCTACTGCTGGCTTGGGGGGCACTGACTTGGCCCCGGGGTGAGCCACAGAAGTGATGAGGGGAGGGGGGTCAATGCGGGGCTTGGGCTTGGCAGGAAAGGGCTTGCGCAGCGAGCTCTCGTCCTTGAGGCGGGCGATCTCTGTGAACACGCTGGCTAGCGGTTGGAACTGAGGACACCAGTTCAGGAGATAGTCCCAGTTGTAGCTGCCACGCAGCTCCTCGTCGCTCGCCACAATGGCAGTCAGGGAGCCGTCCACACAAGGCTTCCCGTCCTCTGGAAAAGAGTAGTCCTTGGTAGAGGGGACACTGAGGCCACAACCAGTGCCCAGGTAGGCCCCACTGCTGCCACTGTCATCCCGGTAGAGTTGCGGGGGCTGCCCAGGAAGCAGCAGACTTGGCCCCTTCCTGTTCTTGAACCAGTGTGTGGCATCAAGCGTGGTCGGCTCACAGGAGATGTCAGAAAGGCGATCAGCATCTGTTTGGATGCCAGAATCAGGCCCGCGTGTTACAAGATGCTCCTGCAGGGAAGAGGTGACGCTGGACATGCGGGGGCATTCGTTGATCATACGGATCTCGTCATCCTCGGCAGCTTCAGCTGAGCCTCGCCCACTTGAGTGAGATGGGTCCAGTGATCCTCCTCTTGTGGTATAGGCTCCCCCAGAATCTGTACCATAGCCAGGCAGTGCCTCATGGTACAGACAGTCCCCCCCAGGTAGGGCTGGGTCTGCATGGCCCAATTTCTGCATGGAGCCACTCTGCATGTGTACCAAATCGGCCTCCTTATGGCCACGGCCCTGCTGTGACCGGAGAAGAGCGAGCACAATGGCCACGGCGGCCAGCACCACCACCACACTCAGCGAGGCAGCCACCGCTATCACCAGCAGCAAGTTTAGGTCAGGCACCAGGCCAAAGGCCGTGTGC